ACTGACTTAGAAGCTTGACTCCCAGTTGCCGGCCTTCCGCCAGGAGCCGCGAAGCCATCGGTCTGGACCCAGCTCCCCTTCATGGGTTTGGTTTTAGGGTTTAGTCAAGTTTAGGGTTTAGGGTTCAGGGGTGTAGGGTTTTAGGGTTTAGGGTGTATGGGGTTATTTCAGGGTTTAGTAAAGTTTAGGGCTGAGGGGCTTACTAGGGCTTGTAAGCTGAAGGCTCGTTTTTGTAGACAGGTCTTGTCTGACTTCTGATGTTTGCTGGCTTAGCTATTTCATCAACTTCTGACCTTGTTTTTAGGAGGGGTTCGCATAGGGCTTACAGGCTTCGGTAATCCTCAGGGGAGTTGGATGTCTCGGGCAGCTCAGCGTCTTGGGCAGCCGTCAGCGTTTATGGGGTCTTCAGGGTTGACGTTGAGGTTTGGGGTTTAGGGTTTAGGATTTGTCGCAGTTTACAGCTCTTGGCACCTCGTCATGCTGATGAACACAAACACTCAACTGATTGATTTACTCACAACTTTAATGACACCTTTGTTTCATGAACTGTTTAATTTGTGAAGTACATCATTAACTGTATACTTCGTAAGTCACTAACAATAACAATACTAACTATTACCACAAAAGTAATACTCATCATCATCATCATCATCCTCAGCATCAGCATCTTCAACATCAACAACAACATCATCATCAGCATCATCATCATCATCACCATCATCATCATCATCACCATCATCACCATCATCACCATCATCACCAACATCACCATCATCAACACCACCCTCATCATCATCATCATCATCATCATCATCACACTGCGAACAATATGCTTTTTTTGCCCTGGTGTGACATAACTATGTGGTAATATGATACCACCACCCCATTCTACTCTTACCGCTCCTATCAAAACCTATATACTGGTAAAAGCCTTGTTGCGAGCCAAGGCCCGCAGAACGCCCTTAAAAGAATACTGCTCAAAGCTAGGAGTTAGGATGAGGGGAACTCTTGGAGATATAGACCCTCCCAATAAGGTCCCTTTTACTTAGATGCTGGGTTCATAAGCCCAGAAAAGTGTACACTTTCAGTTTTATAGTAGGTAATATTATCCTCCAGAAGTGTAAAGTGTATCCACTCAGCTACAGGTCCCGTTTAAGAGAGCCACAAGTTTTGAAAAGCCGCGTGGTTCGGCGCAGCAGTACCCAGAGACTCCAATTTCCTTTAACCAAGGAATATATACTCTAAATCATATTCAGGATCCTACTAATATTCCTTAATTAAGGGATATTGGAGTCTCTGGGTATAAGAGCGCTGCCACACACATGAAACACCCTGCACATGCACTAGAACAACGCCCAACGTATGCCGGCACTGCTACGTAAGTGTTGACAGCACAAGAGATGGCTGGGACACTGCGAAAGCCATCGCTCACATGTTTGTGCTGTCAGCGGGCCCGAGCGTGGAAGTTGTGATCGATGATGTGTCGATTCCTGGCGGGCAGATCCGCAGAACAGTGCTACAAACCAAGATTTTACTAGGAGTAGGCCTGTTCCCGTCAGCAGGAGACCCATTCTGAGAGGCTCTTAGCCAAGGGGAAAGGCTTGAAGTCGAAATTCTGGGGAGGAACCGATCCCCAAACTCGGCAGGCCACTTGTACCGGTCCGTGCGCTCTGTTTGCAAGGTGTCGAAGAGATGGAGCATGTCGGAATCGTAGGTCTGCGGGACAGGATGGACATGCTGCGTTCTCTGCATGTCGCACGCCTCAGATGCTACAGGCAAGGACCTTTTCCCACGGCACGCACTGGGTTGGTAACTTGCAAGAAACCCAGCCAGCTCCGTCGTGCTGACATAGTTGTCTTGCCGTAGTCTGCAACAACTGCACGAAGTCGAGGTCCATGCATACTTGGACGTCTCATGATCGCCTCAGCACATCCACACGAGTAGAAAGCTCCAGTATATGCAGCTACTTCTGAGTGCAGCGAATGGTCTCTAGATTAAGAGAAAGTCTTGCCAAACAGTCCAGAGAACTTGATATGTGCCGGTGTCCTCATCTGCCTTTCCCTGAAACCTCACCTTCGACTACCAATGCGCACAGCCTGGGGTAGTACCTGCCTCGCCTCAGTAGCAGCCGACGAGCACCAGGTTGCGCTCCCAGTCGAAGACAAACGCATTTGGGACAGAGAAGAGGCCATCCGAAAGGGTGAGGACTCTGGTAGTCCTATCATCCATCCGCCTCGGCGAGAGTGGCTGAGCTGTGCTACGGCCTTCAGTGCGATCTGGTGGAGGGGCCTCATCAGAGCCACCAAATCCCGCAAGCGCAGCTCATCCAGCTCGTCGATGACTGTGTCATTCCAGGCCTCGGATGCACATCCTCACCCATTCCGCCTTCCGGTATACGATACTTGCAGACTGGGATTGCTTCTGCCATTGATTCTTTGCTTATGGCTTGCAGCTCCCGGGCTGAAATCTACGAATCAACAAACTCCCACGAACGCAGCAAGGATGTGAGAAATTCAGAGATGCTCAAAGGCCCGAAGGGCAGAATCGGAAACTCCTCCCCTCGACCGACCGAAGTTTCTTCGACCTTTCAAGTTACCAGAAGCAGAAAGCCTGTCAGCTCTTTGCAGCCCTGAGGCCTGAGAACGAAATTCTTAAAATCCCAAAACCTGATTTTTAGGGAAACCTCGACGAACTACCAAGGGAACCTTGAAGCAAAAATAGAGAGAAACCGACCAAGAGGTGCCCAAACGCAAAAACTCGGCCAGCGCGCGTGGAGCTTGGCCAAGTCCGACCCCAGCTCCTCCTCCACTCCTGGGATCGTCGACTTGATGTCCAGGGCTTTAGGGTTTAGGAGGCACACCTTGCACCAGGCTCCACGGAAGCACACAATGCGATTCTTGTAGATTCGGTCGGTCACCCTCAATGCCAAGGCTTCAAGCCTCCATCCCCCAACTTATTTCGGGTCGCAGATGAGGCACGATCGCTCTCCGCCCCTGCTCTGTTCAATGACCACTGATCAAAAAGGCGCACCTGGGCCGTCGTTCGCAGAGATTCAGAGACTCAGGCCCTCGGAGACACAGAGATGCTTGGATTACGACACTAAATCCACGAAACCCCCGCACCGTGTTTGAGATTCTGCAAACAAACTCAAAGGCCGAAGGGCAAAATCCAAAGTTCCTCAGCATCGTCCCAGGCGCTCTCTCCTTGAGCTTCCGTCGAATTCGGGAACCTCCATCGTGCCTTTGCCAACTAGCACTGTCCGTTGCCTGGCTTAGCAGCTATGCAACTATTCAGCTATCCCTCATGGGGTTTCCATGAAAACAGTATGCGATTGCTGGCTGCGCAGAGGTGTGATGCATGCAAACCGAGAACAACTTCTGTCGCACTCCGCGGTGCCTTCAGAACCGGCTGACATTTGAAGCCCTGTCCCTCGGAAGCCTTCCAAAGCACAGAACGCACTAAAGTCGCTCAGGCACACGGCCGCGATCTCCAAAGAGGTGCCCAGCCGCCCCTCCGTCAGTTGCCCCCTCATTGGCCGCTTTGAGGCTTCGACACACGGTTCAGAAGGTCTGGAGAGCAGTAATTCGAAGCAGCACTCCAAAGAGACGTACAACAAAACAAACTAGCTGGTCGCTTCCTGGCTTCAGGATTTGGCAATAGGAAGCGGTTTCAGACAGGCGTCAAGCTCGTTGCATCCGTCAGCTCCTCCTGCCCCACGAAGAAGCTCGTGAACTCCGGGTCCTGGCTGCGGTTCGGAAGTTGGCTGTTCACCAGGCTCCGCTGCTCGCATCCACGGGCATTTGCAAGGTACAGCAGAACGATAGCTTCCTTGCACCGCAGGAAGAATGCCTTTGCCGTGCCCTCCCACCATCTCCCACCCAGCCCCTGACTCTAAACCCTTTTTACACAGGCTTGATTGGAGCTCGCCCGGCCAATGTCCCTCGTAGCACGACTCTAAACCCTAATCCCTAAACCCTAAAGCACTGCCGGGCTTCCAGGGAGGGCGGCGTTCGCCGTTCTCTCAGCAGCTGCCGCAGCTCCGCAGCCGTGCTCTCGGAGTCGAGGCGGCACTCGAAGAGGAGGTTCCCACCTCGCAGGGCTTAGGGCCCGCTTCTCTTCATTTGGGTAATTTTCTAAATTAGGGTCCCTTTTGGGATCCTTTTTATAAGGGTGCCGTACTATATTGGGGAACCAAAAACGGGACCCTAATTTAGAAAACTACCCATTTGGCTGTTCATCCTCACAGGACGTCCTGTCAAGAGGTTTGGGCCTGCCGAGCGCAGCTCCAACGCCACCAGGGCCTCGTCCCGCTGCGCTCGGCGCATCCTTATGGCGTGCTTGCCAACCGATACTGTCGGACCGCTAGGATAGGGTGGCTCAAACTTCCACGAGACGTCTACTCCAGGTTCCCAGACGCTTTCAAAGGACAACAGTTTCTAGTCGCAATTGGGCCATCTGTCGCCCAGGGTCGATGCGTGCTTCAGGCAAGTAACCCGGACGGCCCGGACTCCAAGCAAGTGCTTCTGAGGCTCAAGGCCCAAGGTAGGGCTCGAACTCCAGGCGGACCCGGAGTTTGTTGCAGACCCAGGGAAGCCAGGGATCGGTTTAAAACGACAGCTGTACTTAGCCGAGTGCCCCGTATCTGAAAGAAGGGACGGGCGTCGAGCAAACACGCAGAGGCTTCAGGCCAGGCACGTAAGTCCAGGGCTTTGGATTTGGGGGTGCGGCTTTGTTGATTACCGCTTATCCGAAACATCCCACTGCTTGCAGCACTGTGACATGCCACCACCCCTGTCTGATTTCAGAGATTCAGGTTGTTCGGAGGATCCCTGGATTTGAGGTCCCGAAGAGCTTCGGACTTAGGGCTTCAACGCTCCAAGCCCTCAATCCTCTGCCCCCAACCTCATGGGAGACGATAACGTAAGCGGCGGTCTCGCGGCCCTTGCACACAGGAGCTAGAACGTGCGACGGGCAGAGAGGAATGTGTCGACGCACGTTTACTAGAAGCAGCTGTGATACTGATGGCAACAAGAATACCAACTGTTCAACAAAAAAAGTCGTCAGAAGGATCTGCACCCTAGTACTCATGCAGCAATCAGACTGGGGACTCTTTTAGCCATGATAACAGTAATGTACAGTACTGAACGGTTACTACAGTCATGGAAACAATGCTCACAGAGTACTTCGGCAAAGTTCGTACAAAGTAGCGATCACATGAGAAATCAATACATAGGTTGATAATGAGAAGAAGACATTGTAAAGTTATTGCTGTTTTCGGACCGCTGCGTGGGCATTGAAGGTCTCAGCCGACCAGGGGCGGCAAGGCTCGATAGCTGCGTGAAGCGGACGAGGCATAGGAAGCTTCAAGGCTTCAGGGCTCTTTGAGGCCCGACTTTGTTTCCACGGCGCCTTGTAGGAGGGAGGGACCATGGCGTTCCCACGCATCGCCATCTCCACCTTTGCCGGGCAGCCGTTTCTGGAACCTCGTGCGCTTGATCACCAACCCTCGCCAAACCTCCCTGGTGTCGTCGATGCTCTTCAGCCGCTCCTCTTTGTAGGGGTCGATGAACTTCCCCGCGAGCTTGGCAGCGAGGGCGAAATGGGCTTGGGTGCATTTCTGTGAGTTCGGGGAGTTGGCTGTCACTTGGCTAGAGGGACACTCGGCTCACGACTGTCAAGATCGTCCAAACACGACTACTAAAGACTGTTTGACTAAGACCCGAGTCTCGTTCAGATGCTGCTACAGCCATCAAGGCACGACACTCTTCTCGAAGCCCTTGCGCATATTTTAGAAATCCTAGACCGCACCTCCCCACGACCATACCTTCGTAGAACCCGTCGCCCTCCCCTCACGCCCTTCCCCTCCTCCGGCCCGCTCTCGCCTTCTACTCCACGCGCACGATACAATGCACGACACTGCCCTCGACCCTCATCCGACATTTCGCGACCACGACACTCACGCATCTCACGCACTCGCCCGCCACTTCACGACACTCCCCACGAGACACTCGCTGCTCCGTGACACTCTCTCACCCACTACTCCGCCCTGGCCCACACTCCCATGACCTCTCTCGATACGTCCTCCCCTGCTCTACGACAAAAAACGCCCTCGAAAATTGACCTAATATATCTTAGTACGAAATACTAAATCGGTCAAGAACTTAGAGCAATACGAACACACATTTCCAGAATTTCGTGCAATACCAATAATACCAATCACCAAAATCTTTGGGACCTAAAGATTTCGTGTCGCACAGCACGTCCAGCATAAAATTCTCAAAATTCCAATCATTTCTAGGTTTCGTACCAAGGATTCATACTAAACTTTCAAGCAACTAACCACAAGCATACCAACGACCTCCAAAAAAATATGGGAAAGAATACAAGAAGAATATCTTTTATTCGGTACTACATATTTCTAATTCTATCAAAATACATTAAAATATAGATTTCGAAGAGATAAATAATTAATGAAATATATGGGTTTAATTTTAAATCCGTAAATCTTATTAGTATAGAACTTTTATTTTTCAAATCTTTTCTCTGAATAAAAATATCTGAAAGTTTCTTTTATCTCTTATAATAGGATTAAAATATCATATTCGAGATCAAGTTTCTATTCTTTGCAATCTCTACTGAAAATTTCTATTATCTGAAAGAGAGAGAGAGAGAGAGAGATATATATATATATATAAATTAGTATGATATTTATTGAGAACTTGCCATATAATCGAGGTGTTACATTAACGGTATTAAGCAGATAAATCATTCTTCATATCAATAATTGAGAATAGAAATATGTATGAATAAAAACTCTAATCTGATTTTCTTCAAACTTATAAACGGATGGATACAATCGTTGCTCTTTATTCAGATATTGCTGATATATATATATATATATATATATTTATTTATTTATTTGTTTGTTTGCACGTATCTCTTTACCCACGAACGCACCATCTTGTATGATCTTTTTCCAGGATCTCTGTCATCAAGGCACGATGTAGTCCTGCAGACAGACACAAGCATCGATTCGAGGGGCCTGCTTCCAGGAATTTTTTCGATAGCACTCCAGAATCTCGCGCACAAGTGCAACAGCGTGCGAACCAATAGGCGTAAAGAGCATGGAGTTTTCGTGAGGTGTTAACCACTCAGGCAGAGACCCCGTTTAAGACAAATCATGACAAGAGACCAGGAACCAGCCAGAAAAATCACCAAGCTGCCTAGAGGTCGTCTGAATCCACCCTGGAGCCCAGACCAAGTCCGATCGTGTAAAGGCGCAAAAGGAAGGCAGTTCACGCAAAGCGGGGATTCGGTCGGGCTCTGGCCAGAGTGCCAGGCTCAAGCTCTGAGCTATGGTGCTGCCACGTTTAGAGAGAACCATGTGACCTCACATGACCACATATGAACAATACAAATTAATCCGCTATAGGTTTCGTATTGAAACCGATCAACCGAAACTTCATTGTGCATGACTGGCGTAATCGTGTGCACAATGAAATCTGTACTGTGTTTGCCATCCCTGTCCTCGCCATAACGCCTCCTTTGGAATTCTTTCCTCTTTTCTTGGAGCCATGTGGGACCTGGATTCTGGCTGTGATACTGTCGATGATATAAATCCTGCATTACCTTCAGGCCCTAGGCTATGAGAATTCTGGTATATTCCTTATTATGGGTAATGCAGGGTATATATCATCAACCGTCTTAGCACTGCGGGAGAAAATTCTAGAAGTTTCAGGGATGCTCGGCGACGAGAGGCCCCACTGCAAAAAGGATGCTGGTCAGAAAGCATAGCGTGGCATTATGATAAGCAACGGCATGACCCCTACATTGCGAATGACGTCTGACTACAACAACAACAACAACAACAACAACAACTACTACTACTACTACTACTACTACTACTACAAGTACTACTACTACTACTACGACGACGACGACTACTACTACTACTACTACTACTCCTGCTAGTGCTCCTGGGTCTGGTAAAGGGCAGGCAATTGCTGGCAGTAATCGCCGCACTACTACTACCACTGCCAGTAGCAGCAGGGCATGCAGACAGTAGTTCTTGTCACCGAAGAAGCAGTGAAAGCAGTGCTAGCAGCAGTACTGGTACAATCTATGACCACGCAGCAACACTGTTGCGTCCCATCTGTTTCCTGCCAAGATATGGGTAGTTCTCTTAATTAGGATCCCTTTTTTGGGCCCCAACATAGTACGACACCTTATAAAAAGGACCCCAAAAGGGACCCTAACTTAGAAAACTACGCAAAGGCTAAGACTCGGAAGCCGCTAGAGGTTCCTGTTAGGGTAGGGAAGGGTTTTGGGAATTGTCCGCTGGTGGCAGGTGCTGAATTCGGAGGAGTTGCAGCCGGCGTCGCCCCAGTAGATGCTTTCCACCTCATCATTGCTGTGATCTCAGGTGCGAAGCCGTTCGGAATGAACCTAAACATCGTCCTGAACCTCGGAACATCCTGAAACAAAGGGACAGTGCAAGTTCTAAAACCACTTGCTCAGAGCGTCATCAATCCAAGCCCAAGCACGTTTTTGCCTCTGGCAGACGGATACGTTGTTGGCAGTGTTTCGAGCTGCCCGGCCCTGAAACATGGACTCCACCCAAATTTTGCATACCACTCGAGGTCTGGACCTTGTCATCTTCGATCAGGTGCCTCGTCCAGAAGTGACAATTCATGACCCCTCTTCATACAACTGACCTTGTTAAAGATACAACCTCGGCATTCAAAACATGGCACAGCAGATCGCCTGTCACCCCAGTTGTAGTGGTGTCGCGGGGCATCCTGCTCTTCTTCGCTGGGCTTGCGGTCGTCCCACGAATCCTTCCTTGGGCTTCGACGCGAGCAAACTTTGCATGCCCGCAAAATCCCCTCCTGCCACGCCCTCGTGCAGCAATCACCTATGGACAGCATCGCATCAGTGCCGAGCAAGCTGCACTTTGTCTCGCTTCTTTGTGTGATGTCTCACCTCAAGACAAGACTATTTCGTCGAGCAGGCCATGCGTCGCAGGAACTCGCTTCCGCTACATGCCCGCACAACTCAAGGTGAATTGGCGCCACACAACCTCACACACACACACACGCGCGCATAAACATACGCACGCACGTCCGACACCAATTGTAAATGCCTACGTGTATCGTAGTTGCGCCTTTCTCGTTTCTAGACCGGCTGGAGTATATCTGAGTCAAGACGCTGGTCGATCCTTCCAAAGCCCGAAGTCGTACTCCTGTGTGCAGAAAGAACTTGACAATTACATCCATCCTCTCAGCAATAGGCAAACAAGCACCGAATGCGCACGTGCCGTTGCACTTACGCATACATGCACCAACCATGCTGCGCTGATCTTGAAGCTTCCGGGTACTAGGAGGAAAACGATGCTTTATGAGGGCACCCTGGTCGTAAAATTCAACACTCAAGCCCGCGAGTCTGAATATTGAGTGAAGCTTAGAATTAAACACCCGACCAACTTGAGCCTCAGAACCTCACCTGACTTGCGATCCGTGTTCCTATCTTGCAGAACATGCAAACTCAATGCTACGTGGCTCCCACAGGCAACATCCATAAAGTCTGGTTGATGTCCGTCACGTTCTTGGCGCACGAAAGAGTGCTGCCAATAGCTGGCATGCAGTTGGGACTAGACCATGAACTTAGAGACTCGAATATTCCTTAATTAAGGAAGATTAGTAGGATCCTTAATATGATTTAAGGTATATTCCTTAATTAAGGGATATTGGAGTCTCTGGGAAGCTGTCGCAGTCAGGATCCTTGACTTGGTGTTTGAAGGATTCGGATCTTGCCCCTTGTCCCGTCCTCTCGCTGGTTGTCGTCTAGCAAAAACCTCAAAGGGCCAAACGCTGTCGGGGTGGTAGAGTAACACCTCTCAGAGGTCCTTCTGTCCCGCGAGATTTTACACATAAACTCGTCTTGCCACACGCTGGGGGGGGGGGACAAATCGCACGAGTTTCATGGTGAAGCTGCCATGAGGGCTGCTGTTGTGCCCTGCAGTGGTTCAGAATCATCACGGTGATGTCGATACACGGGCCACCTCGACCCACTGTTATGCTGTTTGTGGTCCATGATCCCACAGCAGATGCTGCAGTACCTTCTGAATATGATGCTGCAAAAGCCATTTTTGCACGGACTTGTACATGCCCGCC